GTCTGCATGCCATCATGTTGAGTATTTCCCATGGGAACTGGGGTCTGAACTTAGGACCTCGGTTACTTCATTCATGGATTATCTCCAAGCCCCGCAGCTTCAGTACCAGCTCGCCTATCTCATGAGGAATCACTTCAGCTTGCGCCTGGCATCCTGAAGGCACCAGAGCAGGCAGGGGCAGCTTCTTCTCACGTGGCTCAGGAGAGCATTGTGTGTGGGAGTGGGAGCTGTGCCCACTGCAGACGAAGGCCTCTTGGATTCCTTCCCACTCTGGACTGGAAGCATCCCTCTCTTTCTTGCTGATTTTCCCCCAAATAATACTTTCCCTGCCTTTTTTTTTCTTTTGGTTTTTCAAGACAGGGTTTCTCTGTGTGGTTTTGGTGTCTGTTCTAGATCTTGATCTGTAGACCAGGCTGGCCTCGAACTCACAAAGATCCGCCTGGCTCTGCCTCCCGAGTACTGGGATTAAAGGCGTGCGTCCATGCCGCCTGGGCTTCTTTCCCTGCTTTTGACTATAGACAAGCAGAAAAAAAAATCAAATAATAAAAAGATGATTAAAACGTCAGCTATGCAAAGCCTCATTTCACCTTGCACACTGTGAACAAAGGCTTCAGCAGTGAGCTGTAGACAGACAGGACCCAACGAGGCCTTAGTGCACCAGGGCCCTGCTGACCTTACTGCAAGCTTTCTAGAAAAAGCAGCGAGGCAGGATGCCCCTATGGCAGCTGTCCTGGGCTGGGAGTGGAAGCGGGGTTCGGTGTCACAGGTACGAGGGACTTCAGAGGGGTTGGCAGGTGCAGCTCAGAGGTGGAACACAAGGCCCTCGGCCCAATCCCCAGCACCAAACCAAACACACAAATACTAACACTGGACTGTGGTGGTGACATGGGACCACTCTATGGACTCATGATGTCACTGAATTAAAGGTCTGTTGTGGAGGGTGAACTTCTTGGCTATGGCTATAAGCTGCAGTGGGATCTTCTGTACACTGAATATGTATTGCTCTCATTGGTTGATAATAAAGCTGTTTTGGCCTATGGCAAGGCAGGATGAGGTTAGATGGAACAAAAAACTGAGGACTCAGAGGAAGAGGGGTGGAGTCGAGAGAGATGAGAGCCAGCTGCCCAAGAAGCAAGATGACAGAGGACTGGTAAAGCCATGGCCATGTTAATAGAAATTAACAGAAACGGGTTAATATAAATGTAAGAGCTAGTTAGTAATAAGCCTGAGCCATCAGTCAAGCATTTATAATTAAATAAGCCTCTGTGTGGTAATTTGGGAAGTGGCTGCTGGGTATTTGGGAACTGGTGGTCGAGGCAGAAATCTCCACCTCCAGTTACAATAAGCTACATCTCATTCAGGTTACTTAAAAAATTACTTTTGCTAGGTAGTGGTGGTGCACATGTTTAATGCCAGCACTAGGGAGGCAGAGGCAGGTGGATCTTTGTGAGTTTGGGGGCCAGTCAGGTCTATGCAGCAGGTTCCAGGATGGCCAGGGCTATACAGAGAAACTCTGTCTGGAAAAACAAAAGCCAAAACCAAAAACTAAACAAAAAGAGCCCCAAACCAAACCAACCAACCAACCAACCAACCAAAAAACCCCAACACAAACAAACAAAAAAGATCCATTCCTGCAGGTGGTGGTGGTGGTGGCGGCGGCGGCACAGGCGCATGCCTTTAATACCAGCACTCGGGAGGCAGAGACAGGTGGATCTCTGTGAATTCGAGACCAACCTGGTCTACAGAGGGAGTTCCAGGACAGGCTCCAAAGCTACACAGAGAATCCCTGTTTTGAAAAACCAAAAACCAAAAACCAAAACCTTTAAATTTCATGTGTCTGAGTGTTTTGTCTATATATCACATGTGTGCCTGGTGCCTTCAGAGGCCAGGAGAAGGCACTAGATCATCTGGAACTGGAATGAGAGACAGTTGTGAGCTGCCATACTGGTGCTGGGAATTAGATCTAGGGCCTCTGGAAGAGAAGTCACTGCTCTTAACTGCTGAGCCATCTATCTGTCCACCACGCTGCTTTTTAAAATGCCCCAGTGATAACAAATACGGAGAGTGGGTGGGAGAGGGCGGTGGGGAGCAAGTCACCAGTCTCACTTCAAGCCCATACCTGCCAGAACTAGAAGCTATCCTCATCTGACAAGTTCCCAGAACGGAAGGAGAGCAGAGACCTTTGGGAACTTTCCGCAGGCCCGGGCTCTGGCCATGAGCTGGGCCCTGTGCCACTGGGAAGGGACAGAAGTCAGTGGGGGTGATCTTCAGTTTTTATCCATTACATTCTGTAAATTACTTGTCTGTCTTTAATATACGCGGCTTCACCCTATGGTGTTGGAATGTGGGTTTGTGGCTGGGCGTGTCTAGTTCTCAGCCTCACAGTCAAGGGTGGGAGGATGCTCAAGGTGTCACCAGTTTCCAGGTCTTACCTTTCCATACAGCTGCTCCATGTCCTCCACGCCCCTGACCACCACACTGTTGCTAATCATTTCAGCTCGGAATATTCGGAATTCCTTCCTGGGACCTTGGTCCTGACCGAAGGGGATGGGCAGTGGTGACTCGTAACTCTCATACACTCTTCTTTTCCTCTTCGGGGCACGGAAGACTGCCTCTGCCATTCTTCAAGGGTAACAGGCCTCTAGAGACAGAGGAGGAGGACCAGTCAGTAACCACGGACCAACAGAGCCAGCACACTCAGAACCAGGTTCATGCGGTCTCTGGGGGAAGGCAGAGTATCTCTAAAACAATGACCAGGAAGATGTGACAAGGACATGATGGCACAGATCTGTCACCAGGGGTGTCCCAGAGCCTGAGACCTCCAACAAGCCAGTGCCATTATCTTCACTGAAGCTGGTAGCACCAAGGACTAGCCTCACACCCTGAGACTTCCTTAAAAGGACAAAGTGTGGTGATATTTTATTTGTGCTCTAACAAATAAAGCTTGCCTGGGGATCAAAGGAAAAAGCCAGCCACTATATTAAATATGGAGGTCAGGCAATGGTAGCACACGCCTTTAATCCCAGCATTCAGGAGGCAGAGATTTATCCGGATCTCTGTGAGTTCAAGGCCACACTGGGAACAGAGCCAGGCATGGTGGTACATGCCTTAAATCCCAACACTAGTTAACCACAGAGGTCTGGAGGTCTGTACAGATAGACAGGAAGTGGTAGAGCTGGGTGGAGAGAGGAAGTAAGATGGCAGGGCACAGAAAGGATATAGACATGAGTATATAGGAAGTAGCTCTCTCTGGAGGCTGAGGAGTGGGTAAGGTGAGGTTGGCTGTGGCTTGTCCTATTCCTCTGATCTCTCAGCTTTCACCCACCCATTTTTTTTTTTTTAATTAATAAGACTGTTTAGCTGTTCATGTTATAACAAAGTACTTTTCTTTTCTTGATCTAGAGGCATTCAGAGCCTCCCAGGGACTGCTAATCAGAGGTACTGGGGATGTCAAGATAAAACCAAGCAAGAATGTGTCCTCAGTAGAGTGAGTCAGGTGACATCTCCATCTTCCAAAGACCGATCTTAAGAGACATCATAAGCCCTGGGGCAGTCAGTTCTCAGGTTTTCTGTTTATTTTTTTGTTTGCTTAACTGAGACAGGGTCTTGTTGTGTCCAAGTTGACCTTGAACTCACCACGTAGGTGAGGATGACCATGAACTCCTGGTCCACCTGCTTCTACTTCCCAAGTGCTGGGATTTGAGGTGTGAGTCACCATGCCTGGCTCCCACTTTTAAAAGGAAGTAAGGGTCACTGTCACTTAAGGGCCAATTATGTTCCACCAAATGCCAGTGGGTGTGTGCGGAGACACTGAAGCCAGACAGGCTGTGCTGTGATATACTCTGTGTGCTAGCTTCTGTGGTGCACACACTGAAATCTGGAAGCTGCTGCCTCTTAGTTGTGAAACCTTGGGCAAAAGTGTCCCCCCCCCCAATTCCTCCCCCCTGCCTCTCTGGGCTTTAGGTCATCTATAAAGGGGGTGAAAACCAGCCTCTCACAGCCAAGGCTCACACAGTGTGTTGTGGAATATTTGCTTAACTATGCAAAGATGTGTTGCACTTGTTTAGCTATGTGAAGCTGCGTTGCTGTTTTATCTTGCCTGCCTGAGGCACCTGATTGGTCTAATAAAAAGCTGAATGGCCAATAGCAAAGGAGGAGGTATAGGTGGAACTTCAGGGCAGGGAGAGTACACAGGGGGAGGAATTTAGACTTAAGGAGAAAGAAAAGGAGATGCCAGGGAGACGCCAGGGGCCAGCCAGCCAGCCAGCCATGGAGGAAGAAGGAAAGTAGGACGTACAGAATGAAAAAAAGGTAAAAAGTCCTGATGCAAAATGTGGAGGAATAGAAACAGGTTAACTTAAGTTAAAAGAGCTAGTGGGACAAGCCTAAGCTAAGGCTGAGCAATCATAATTAATAAGTCTCCATGTCTTTATTTGAAGCTGGTTGGCAACCCAAAGAAAATGTAACTACAAGAGTGCTTGGAACAGATCACAGGGAGGTGGTGGTGCACGCCTTTAATCCCAGCACTCAGGAGGCGGATCTCTGTGAGTTCGAGGCCAGCCTGGTCTACAGAGTGAGATCCAGGACAGGCACCAAAACTACTGAGAGAAACCTTGTCTTGAAAAAAAATCAAAACAACAACCCCAAGCCCCCCAAAACAAACAAAAAAACCACCCAAAAAACCAAGAGTGCTTGGAATAGGACCCAGCACTGCCCATACCCTGGGGATAACGGTTATGAAGTGAGTGCCAGCAATGCCATTTCACAGCAAAGGCAACATTCAGGTCAGCGAGGCCTGAAAAGGGCCCTGTGAGCAACGGCTCTGGACAATCACAGGGCTATGGAGTCCAGAGCCCAGGCTCTCTCTGTGGGTCCTGCTCAGGCACAGGCTGCGTCTGTTCACTATGGACCAGGTCTGAGCGAGATGCCACATAGCTACCAACCAGGCAAGGAATTACCTAGAAGGAGTCAAGGGAGCTGAAGTCAAGACCTCTTCACTCGGTCGGGGTCTCACGCTGACCTAAGGAGACAAGAACAAGTACGGACACACATGAAAGCACGTTGGATATATGTAACCCAGGGCTGCTGCAGGTAACAGCTAACAACAGGAAGCACTACTGAGCCACGGTCGATGCATACGTGCACATTCCAACTGACAGACAGATGCTGCCACTGGGCGGGCAGGGAATTTGAACCTGCATCTGTCTAGGGTCAGAGTTAAACTGAGAAGTGACATGGGGCTGAAAGGTCCCACACATAACCCCTCACAAAGGACAGAGTACGATGATCGGGGTGCCCTTGCCCTCAAACCAGCATCCATTGGGAGAGTTGGGCCTGAGGAGGTGGGTGGCTTTAACATTTCATGACCATTAAAAAGAAATGATGTGGTAGGAACACTGGCTGCTCTTTCAGAGGATTCAGGTTCCACCCTCAGCACTCACATGGCAGGCAGCTCATGCCCATCTGTAACTCCAGTCCCAAGGACCTAATGCCCTCTTCTGGCCTCTGTGGGTACTGCATGCATGTGGTGCACAGACAAGACATGCAGGCAGGCAAACACTGGCAAAATCATCATCATCATCATCATCATCATCATCATCATCATAATAATAATGATAGAAATGACAAGCCTTGGCTAAGATGTGATGACAGCTTCATGGAACTTCTCATGAAGCCAGGAACTTCAGTAAGAACAAGGAAACAGACCAAGTGAATGACAGACACCCATGCATGGGGATGGAGAGGTGCTCAGTAGTTAAAAGCACTGGATGCTCTTCCAGAAGACCTGGGTTCAATTCCCAGTACGCACATGGTAGCTTACACCCACCTGCAACTCCAGTTCCAGGGGATCAGATACATTCCTCCTCAGGAAGCCCAACAAGTGTTGCATGCTACAGTGCACATACATACATGCAAACACATATATGTGCATGTATATGAAAGCAATCATCAGGATGTACCTTCTTAGAACTGAGCGTTCCAGACAGGAACACACCAAATAAGTTAAGTACTTGGGCCTCTCAGTGAAACATATCTGAGCATTATCATGCATGACATGCATAATACTGAACAGCATTTATGACTACGGTTACTGCGTAGTAAGGGAACCGAAGGGCTGTTCTCCTGAGAGCATTGTAACTAGATATGATGACTGTCAACCTGAGAGACGCTCCTCAAGAGGCAAACCTCTGGGCACGTCTACGTTGGATGAGCCCAACCCCGAATGTGGATGGCACCATCCCATGGGCTCCGGTCTTAGAGCACAGAAAAAGGTGAGAGAGAGCCCAGGAGCCACACACTGCTTCCTGACTGCGGTTACGGTGTGAGCACCTGGTCTGCTCTTGCAAGTGGTGCAGAGAACATACACGCAGGCAAAATACTCACATGGATAAACTAAACATAGCTTTAAAAAAAGAGAAACGCTTCTTGTTGCCATGTCAACAGAACACCACAATGTGAACGGGCAACGGAAATAAACCTGGAACCATGGTAAGCAGGTTCAGGGGTCCAGACACTGACTGGGTCACGTACACACACATGACACCGGAGAGCTGTCCTTATTTCATAAAGAAGCTGAAGTCAGCCACTTGCTCGAAGCTGTTACTAGGGAACATAAGAGGTAAGACCTGATGTGGTGGTACATGCCTGTAATCCTCCGACTAAGACAGGAGGATTGCTCCGAGTTCCAGGTACATGAACAAAGAGAGGAAGGAGGGGTGTGGGAGGCTGGATGCAATGGCTGTAACTTGCTTTTTTCTTGAGTGAACCCAAGGCCTGGCTCACTCAAAGGAAACGCTCTACTGAAGGAGCCACAGTCCCAGCCCTGGCATTATTGTACAGGTGAGAAGCGACTCCGGGCAGCATGTGCCTGCAAAGATTGTTACTCTTCACTTCCCAAAGCACCACGAAGTGTATTTCTGTCCATGGAAAGCAAGGCCTGTCCTTTCTTCTTCTTCTGATGAGCTAGCCTAACTTTCATTTAAAAATTTTGGTGTTGCTATGTAGCTTTGGCTAGCTTTCAACTCCTATCTCTGCATCCGCCTAACCTCCTTTAGATGCTCCAAAATGTCAGTCCAAGCACAAACAGTAAAAGAAGGGGTAGATCCATTTAATTTCCCAACGTTCTTGGACCAGGTGCCACACAAGTCTCCCTCATGGCAAAACTCACCCGTGGGTCTCTTATCGTTTATTTATTTCATTCAGTTTTTGAGACGGGGCCACACGTAGCCCAGGCTGGCTTCAAACTTAATACGTAGCGGAGGATGGCCTTAAACACAGGTTGGGATTACAGGCGGGCACCAAGCACGCTTGATCTGATCCGGTGCTGGGCGCAGAAACACGCTGCCCACTGAGCCCCACCCTCAGCCCACCCTCGTGGGCTGCTGCTCATCTTTAGAAAACACATTTGCCCTCTATGTTCCTCACTGCCCAGCTCCCGGGCTGAGGTGCAGGGCTGAGGGCCAAGGCAGACCAGCTTGGCTTCGGGGCAGCCGGCCACTGTCAGCCCGAGCAGAGTGCTCTGCAGCCCGCAGGACGGAGTGCCCAGGGGCGCTTGAGTGACAGCCAGCCCCCACCCCACTCGCGCCCGAGGCCGCCACCTCGCTGGGCACGCGGACACAGCATCGCGCCAGGCCTCCGGCTCCCAGCCGCCAGTCAGCCTTACCTTCCGCGATCACGCGTGCCCGCCGTTACCGGGACAACCTGGGGGCGGTGCTACAGCCGTCAAGCAGTGAAGCCGCAAAAACCAGTCGCACGCGCAGCCGCAGAACCGACACGCCGCTTCCTAGCGCGGCGCGCCTGCGCACAGGATCGCAGATGGTTCATTCCGCCCCACCTCCCGCAGAATCTAATGAGGATTCCAACAGGGTCATATATCCCGCCTTAATCCTCACGGCAATCTTACAAAATCCATTTTCCCCCTCTTGATGTTACATAAGTCTCACAGTATAGCTTTGGTTTACCTAGAACTCACTGTGTAGCCCAGTCTGGCCTTGAACTCACGGAGATGCACCTACCTCTGTTTCCCCAATGCTGGGATTAAAGATGCTCACCGCCTCACGGGTCTAACACAAGATCCATTTTTACCGATGAGATGTGAAGTGACCTGCCCCCAAAGAGTGCCCTTAACCTCCTCAATATGACGTGAGATTTTATTCAGTAATGAACCCTGCATGCTACAATAATGACCTACCAGAGAAGATGTGCCCGCTGGTGCAATAATGGTGTGAAGGTTACAGAGGCAACCAACAGGAAAGAATCCATGCCTGGTACTGTAAACCTGATCAAAAGTCTGTGTCTCAGGAGGTCATAGGGCCTAAGGGGGGAAAACCTGCTACTGCTGTCTTGTTACATGGAGATGTCAATCTACTTCTAAATATTTGGTTATACCCATAGATTAGTGCTGCCCTGACCCATGGCCAGAGAAGTACCTCTCTGCAGTGGGTTAATGGTCAGAGTGCTGAGAAGTTACTGTCGCGTGATCAGCCTTAAATGGGATGTGTATATTAACTCTTGCCTGCCTAAGGCTGAAGAAACATTGAAAAAGAAGGCTTGGGGGGTGGGGTGGGGGTGGGGCGGCAGAAAGAAGGTGAGAGCCAGAGGATGTGAGGAGCGCTGTGAAGTGCTGTCTTCTGGATGTGACAGAACCCATGGCATTCATGAACTCAGAGCAGCAGTGATTACTTACACACGACTTGGACATGATCAAGCCCTTGAGCTCAGTTAACATTCTAGCAGGCGGTACTAATTGGATCTGATGGATTACCGAAAAGATAAAGAGCAGGGAGTATGAAGAGGTGTGTGGGTGAGTAGGGGAATGGGAAAGGACAGTTGGGGGTGGCTATAATCAAGATACACTGTGTACATGTATAAAACTGTCGAAGACTATACAGAAGATTATATATATATATATATATAATATAATATAATATAATATAATATAACAAAGAGTACACACAGGCAGTAGAAAGATAATCTCTGCCAGGTGCGGTGGTGCACACCTTTAATCCTAGCACTTGGCAAGGAGAAGCAGCCAGATCTCTATGAATTCAAGGCCAGCCTGGTCTACTTAGCAAGTTTCCAGGTCAGCCAAGACTATATATATATATATATAAAATGAGATCCTGTCTTAATGTTTTTCTCCTCAGGCTGGGGTGTGACTTAGTGGTGGAGCACTTGCCTAGAATTTAGAGGCCTTGGGGTCCATTAAAGACAAAACAAACAACTTATTTCTCAAACTTCCAACCTTTTGCTTCTTGTTTCTTCCATTCTTTTCACATCCCAACTTTGAATTCCTTGGTGAAGTATTTGAAAATAATCCCTACCCAGGCTTGGTGGTGTGTATTTATAGTCACAGTTACTAGGAAAGCTGAGGGGCTAACATACTTTGAGGCTGTGAGTTCAAGGCCAGGCAAAGAACCATATGAAGGAAGCAGTAGTGGCGCTCAATCTTGATCACATCATTCCTTGGGGCGTTTAGAGGCAGGCAGATCTCCTGAGTTCGAGGCTAGCCTGGTCCAGAGAGTGAGTTCCAGGACAACCAGGGCTACACTGAGAAACCCTGTCTTAAAAAACTAAACTAACCAACCAACCAAAAACCCAACAACAACCAAGGGGGCTGGAGAAGTGGCTGGGGCTAAGAGTGCTGGCTGCTCTTCCAGAGAATGTGGGTTCAATTCGCAGAACCTACATGGCAGCTCACAACCATCTGTAACTTCAGTTCCAGGGGACCTGATGCCCTCTTCTGGCCCCAGTCACACACGTGGTACACAGACATACACGTAGGCACAACACGCATATGCATAAAATAAGTAAATCTAAAAATAAAAAATAAGACAACAAGAACCTCAAACATCATGTAAAACCTCACCCATGATATTCCAGTATTATACACATATAACACAGACACACACTCTCCTATCGACTGTGTAGTTGATTCTATTTCTGGTAGTCATGTGTATTCTATAGAGTTAGCAAATATTGACCTGTTCTTCCCGGGAGAACACAGGGCTGGCTTCTGCCAGCCTGTAATCACAGTCTTTTCATCCTGTGGTCACTATAAGCCTGTTTCGTACTGTACTGTTCATTCGGTTTAAAGCCATCCTCTGTGTTATCTGCTGTTGATTCATTAACACTGAACTCGTGGCCAGCAGTGAAGTAACATGCATGCCAGGGTCTTATCTGAGCCGTATTTCCTTCAGCAAATTGCATTTCCTGGCTGAACAACACTGCGTCACCTCAGCACTCTGCTTGAGGCGTTTGAAACACTCCAGTCACAAGTAAAAAACACAAGAGTGTAGAAATCGTGTGCACATGGCTGACTCTGGGTGTGTGTGAATCTGGGAGGGACTGCAAAATCAAAGCCTTCATTTTGAGGTCACATGCACACACACACACACACACACACACACACACACACGTGTGCACACACTCCATTTCAGAATTCCAGAATAATGTTAGAAACAAACAGAAAACCGTTTAGATGTCACATAAAGGAACACACAAATAAAATGAAAGTAGCTAGCAATGCAATTCTTTTTGCAAAACGGGTGTGCCAAGACCCACAGCAAGCTAGCCAGCACATGGGGTCAGGAACGTCAGTTGATGACTGTGTGTTCCCCATTGGCTGCAGTCTGAGCTCTCAGACTTTTGCTATTGGTTAGTTTGGAAAGAATCCTAGGCAAAGACAATGAAGGGGAGGGGTTGGAGCTGCAGGCCGCCAAGTGGCCAAGCGTGCGTGGGGGGTGGGGTGGGGGGAGTGCTTTGCATAAACCAAAGTTTTACCAGGTAGGAGAGATCTGTGGAATCTTAGTCCTTGGTAGGCAGACTACTTTTGATAGACTAAAACAAACACTTCTAACAGAATAAAGGCCGTCTGCCTACTACAGCTTAAACACAGCTGGAAATGGACATCAAGTCTTTTGTTGTTGTTGTTGTTTTCTTTTTAAATTTGGTTTTTCCAGACAGGGTTTCTCTGTGTAGCTTTTGCTGTCTTGGAACCTGATCTTTAGATCAGGCTGGTCTCGAACTCAGAGATCCACCTGCTTCTGCCCCCTGAGTGCTGGGGTTAAAGGCACATGCCCCAACACTGCCCAGCGACACCACGTCTTAATGTGAGCCATGAATGGAATCATCATGTAATTTTTGAAATATACTGAAAAAGAAAGAAAGAAAGAAAGAAAGAAAGAAAGAAAGAAAGAAAGGAAGAAAGAAAGAAAGAAAGCAAAGAAAGAAATAAAGTTGTCCCCTCCTCCCTTTGTCAGGGGAAGAGGTCTGAAACAGTCTGGTGTTGCTGGCTTCAAACTCTGCATGTAGCAAGGGGATGACCTTGAACTCCTGATCTTCCTGCCTCCACCTCCTAAATGCTGGGATTATACAAATGCATCACGGTGTCTAGAGTCAACCGTTTTGTAATCTGAAGTTCAAGATCAACTGGGTGTCCTGTGTTTTATCTAGCCATCCCTGCCACCTCTACCGTGGCTATTCTGTGGTGGTCATAGCGGCCCCGCGGACTGGGTGCCACCACCTCTGACTCTGTTGCCAGTGGCTGGGAGCAGCCTCAGTCGCCCCACGGGACGCCAGGGCTTGGTTCCAGCACCCAACACACGGCATTCAGTGTTGAAACCAACTCTGTAAGAACTGGCGGGAGGGAAAAGAGGAAGACTTGGTGCGGTGATGGATCAGGAAGGCTTCCTGAAGAGCTGGCCTAGAAACAGGGCTGATGGCAGCCTGGGGCATCCGGCTGGCCCTGGTGAGAGGCTGGACCCAGTTTGGAGGTTCAGGGAGGAGCTGGGCCTGGCCAGGGCAGGAGGTCGGAGCCGAGATAAGGCCGGATAGGTAAGGCGGGGCCGATTGTGGAGGCGCTTGAATTCCAGGCTTGGCTTTCGGACTTTACCCCGCAGACAATGGGGAGCCGGCCGCATTTCTGAGCAGGGCTGGGCAGCCCCTGTCGCCCCATTGTTTTCCTGAGAGGCCGGGCCCTGCAGTGTTGCGTCTCGACCACCAGATGGTGGTATTTCAGCAAATTTCAACCACTCCCGGTGAGCGCCATCCATCAGCGAGAGCGCTCCAAATCTACCCACCAAATCTACCCAATGCAGGACGTGGTCCAGACTCACCCTGTCAGCGAGCCTTCTCCCCCTTCACAGCTTTGAGGGAGAATTTGTCGAGCTACAGGAAAGGACAGACCCGTGTTGGCCTGTGCAGCTGGAAGCTCTTTCAGTGGGCCACACGCCCATTTCACTAGTTGCGAAGTAGTGGTTTGCCTTAACTCAACTGTTAGGACGTGGAGCCATGGGGCAAAGGGTGAGCCCGGAGCCCTCAAGGTTCTGGTTTGATGGGCAGGGTTCCTTGCATAGTATCCGGTCTATTGTCGTTGCCAGAAAAACAAAACCAAACCAAAATAACCCCAAACCACCATAGTACTATTAGGGAAATAAGCCACCTGGTCAGTTCCTGGTGCTTTTTAGAGAGACACTGGTCCTCCGAGTTAGAGATTGGAACACCCGTTTTACTGGAAGAACTTGTCCAAGGTCACACAGAGGGGACACACCAGAGGGGACACACCAGAGGGGACACACCAGAGGGGACGCTGGATCCCAGGATTGTTGCCCCTACCTATCTCATGCTTTCCTTTATCAATCAAACATATCCTATTGTGCAGTCAATTTCTTAGCGAAACTTATGTGTCCATACCCGAAGAGATACGATTTCCTTTTTACAGCTGTGTATATATGTGTGTCTCTGTATGGATTTCAGGCAACTGTAAGCTGCTTGACGTGGGTACTGGGAACTGTACTCCAATCCTCCACCGGACAGAACAGTGAGTGCGCTTCATCACGGAGCCATCTCTCAGCCCCAAATGACTTTTTAAAGAAAGATATTTTTATTTATGTGTATGTGTTTGTGTGCACTCGCCAAGCTGCTTGGAGAGGCCAGAACAGGCTGTTGGAACCACTGGACCTGGAGTGACAGGCAGTTGAACCCCTTGGTGTGGGTGCTGAGGATGCAACTCAGGTTCTCTGGAAGGAAAGCAAGACCTCTTACATGCTGATGCGCCTCTCCAGCCCCTTCTTCCTTTAAGCAAAACTGGTGGCGTGTAGTTTGTGTTTTCTGAGAAAGAAAAACCTAACTGTTCCTATTTGGAAGGAAGGCACATTCATAAAATGTGCCATAGACACACACACTGTACATCACCCATATAGCAGAATACTGTGTGGCAACAAAAATGAATGAATGAACTGTTACGAATATGACCTACAGAAGTCTATCAATAGACACATTTCAAACACAGGATAAAAGCAAAATGCAAGATAATATACATCCTATTTATGAAAACTAAAACACACAACATCACACACTGGATATACCAAAAGATATGTTCATATACCAATGCCCGGTCTTCTACGGTACTTGGCAGTGGATAAGGGGACTTCAACTTTGTTTCTAATACTTTATTTCTTAAAATAAAAACTACATAGAGAAACAAACAAACAAACAAAAAAACCCATGGAAATAAGTCTGGGTGGCCGACACACAAGTGATTGCCACATTATTTCTTCTATTATTTATGTAAGTACAAGCGATGCTCCAGGGAAGTAAATTCAAATGAAATGCCACCAAGCCTGGCTTTCTCGTCTAGGATTTGAAGGCGGCAGCAGCGTTCAGAGGCCTGAGGATTGCCGGGAAGGACAAGCCCCAGTTCTGGTCTTACAAACTGAGATTTGTGGCTGTGAGGTCCCATTCACGGGCATCTCCAGGTACCCACCTGCTTCTCTCATCCCTTCAGGGGAGATGGATGTGGCTGGTGAGACCATCCGACCCCTCAGGGGGGACACAGAGGACAGAGGAGGCCAGGACCATGTGGTTCTATCTTGGAAGCTACTGGCTGGCTGGCAGTGGCCATGCCCTGAACCCAGTTCCCTTCTGTCCTTCGCTTTGGTCATTTTCCCCGAAGCCCTGGTCACACAGACCATTTCTCAACACGTGTCCTTGCAGGGCGGCACCCACTTTCTTGCGCCAGGTGCTCCAGCCAGCCAGTAAACCCAGTTTTCACTTTTGCTTTTTGTTTTCTGGAATTGTGCTGACCAGCATGCAAAATCATAGCGTCGGTGTTCTGTGATCACGACAGAGAAAGAGGCAGTCAAGTGACCTCATGCTATACAATGATGCTTTGGTCGATGGCAGATGGAGGCAGCAGGCTATACCCTGGTGTGCAACAGGCTAGACCATGCAGCCCCATCATGTAGCAAGGTGTACCATACAGCCTTGGTGTGTAGCAGGCTAGAGTTTACAGCCTTAACAGGCAACAGGCTAGACCATGGAGCCGAGGTGTTCAGGTTAGATGGCCGAGGCATGTGTAGCACAGCCGTCACCTCTTATTCAGTCCTCAGAGCACACTCCATTCTTAGGTGCACGACTGTGGGACCTTTTTTTCTCTTACAGTTTTTCCCCATTTGCACTGGTCATAGTGAGCTGAGTGTGGTGCTTTCAGAAGCCCATTTTCCTGCTCTTAGGCTTTACACAGGTAATGTTCTCCGCCAGATCAGGTATTTGCACACTCGGTCTCTGCCTAGTGGCTGTTTTTGGAGGCTGTGGGATCTTAGGGAGTGGCGTGGCTAGCAGAAGTGGGTCATGGGGCTCCTGCCTGAGTCTTTGTCTCCTGCTCTACCACGGCGTGGGACGCTGCAAGGACCCGTTACAGACCCACCCACAATGCCCGATGGGCTGTGTGCCCTGAAACTGTGAGCTAAGACGAACCCTTCCTCCCATAAGTTACTTCCATCACGAGTTCCTCCATAGCAACAAGAACAGCAGCTCACACTCAACCCCACCTCTCTTAGTAAGCGATGCTCACTCACTCCATTTCATCCATGTATTCATCCGTTTTTATTCTCTTTAGCTTTTATTTGTTTTATTTGATACGTATGGGCGTTTGCCTGCATGTGTGTATGTGCACCACAGGCGTGCAGTGTCTGTGGAGACAGAAGAGAACGTTGGATCCCCCTGGAACTGGAGTTACAGGCAGCTGTGAGATGCTTAATGTGGGAGCTGGGAACTGAACCAGCGTCCTCTGCAAGAACAGTCAGTACCCTCACCCACTACGCTGTCTTTCCAGGGACCCCTCTCTGTTTTAAGATGAAGAAAGCAAGAGTCAGAACAGCTGTGCACTTTACCCGAGGAAACAGA